TGGTTTCCTCTCACTTTCACCTTATTTTTTTAAACTAGCTTCTTTAGTTTCTATTATCTCTTCATTGATAATCACTTTTTTTCTCCTCTTGTAACATTTTTATTCATTTACTTTTTTCTGGTTATACTGGTGACTCTCATTCATCTTTTCTCACCTTATATTTTCATTGCATTTTTGCACCTCTAAATATTATTACCTTAATCTCATATATCCTTTATATGAAATATGTCACACTGTCAATAATATATTTGCAGCAATTAACTGTATTTAGTGCTATTTAGTGCTAATTTTATATCATGCATTTCAATTAAAACTATTAGCAAATCACTGCAATAAATCAATATGCAACCAACTTCAGAAATTTAAACACTAATCATCAAGTTGGGATTGCCTCTGTAGAATACAGCATCAACCTGACATAATCTGTATATTTTAACCATTTCAGCAAATATATAAAATATTTGCTATCTTAGAGTGAAAATCATACAAAACAAATCTCAGTGGGCCCTTCCTAAAAAATAACTATTTCATAATGTAAGTGATTCAAAACTTGCAATTCAGAGAATATTATTGAATTTTCCTAAACATGGCTAATTTCACAGGGGAAATTAAGTGTATGACAGTGATATAATGCACAAACTTTATTTTCTTTCCTTATCCTTATTACATCCTAATGACTGGGGGAAAGAATAAGTTAAGACCTTAAGAATATAGAGGATAATTACAGTTTAAATGTATAATACTTTTTAACCTGGACTTAACAACATGTCTTGTTAGAGGAAGTACAAGTTTGCTCTCTCAGACTCAAAAGAGACACTGAAAAATACAAGCAGTTTATGTGATCCCTAAAAATATGCATAGTCCCCATGCAAACAGCTGAAGCCCAGCATTATAATACTGACATTATAATTGATGTGTAATTTAAACAGAGCTAAATTATAAGTTTCCAAAAAATAAGCAAATATTTGTAATATTACTCTGTTTAAAATAAAGCACATCCTTATTTTCCAATAATTATTTTCTGAATTCTATTACAATGTAAATTTACAATTAATATAACATCTGTTTCACATAGTACAGAAAAGTTTGAATCTTGAGGAGACAGCATTAAATAATTTAAGAATTCTTCTGATGTCAACAGAACAAATCATTTGGCTAGAAACCTGCTTTATTCTAGTTTTACATAACATTTTTGAAAAATGTTAAAATTAGAGAGGTATTATATACTGCACATATTAGTGGTAAAACTGGCATTCACAAGTGGCTTAAGATGGAACAAGAGGTTTTCTCAGTCACTCATGATAGAAATTCTGCAGTCAATAGAGGGCCTTGGGGGAAAGGGCAGTATTCTTGACCTGAGTGGAACAGATCTCATTACATAAAATACAATTTGAAAAACTTCCAATTTAAATGGACCCTCATGATCGTCATTAGGCTTTCAAAAAATGCAATTAATCCTGTCTAACACCTCTGGGATCAGCTTCAGAAGCACTCTCTTTTGAGAAATAGTTCTCTAACCACCTAAAGATGTTGGATGTGGATCTGGTTTCAGCACTCAGAGACACTAATGATAGGTTATTTGACTCCTCTAATACACAAAGAAAAGGAACACATGTTTAGAGCTGATACCATACATTAAATCAATGCCCCAAGGGTAGGCATCCAACCTGGAGGTCAAGACACAGGCAAAAGACTCCTGTGTCCCATGTCAGAATAACTGGGTCGGTAACCGGCTCTGGCTCCTGACTCCAGCTTCCCACTAATGCAGATCCTGGGAGGGAATAGTGATAGTTCAAGCAATTAGGTTCCTGCCACCTACATGGGACAGACACCTAGATAGCATTCTCAGCTCCCAGCCTCGGCCCAGCTCAGCCCTGGCCTTTGTGAGCATTTGGGGAGTAAACTAGCAGATGAGAGCTTTCTTTCTCTCTTGATCTGTATTTCAAATAATACTTTTTTAAAAAATAGAAACATTACCCTGATCGTAACAATAAACATTTGACATTACATACTACAATATTCAGTTTAAACAAATTTCAAGTATCACTTAATTATATTAACATTTTCCATCTATCAAGAGCTAAGTGTCCCATTATACTGTCTTTAAAGGGAGCTCTACTTTCTAAACGCTTTGCTAAGAAAAACTGAGAAAATTAGGAGCAGCAAGTCAAATAAGAATACTATGATTAGTTTCCTTTTCCTATAATACATTCACTTTATTTTACCTAAAAGTATGTTTTAAAGTCCCACTTTTGCATGTTCATTTGAACAGAGAAACAGTGATTCATAGCTGTCGCTTTTTAAAGATTTTAAATAAATATGCTTCCCTATGCATTAACTCATATTGGCTCAAAAGCATAAATATAAAGCCAAAACTATAAAACTCAGAATGAAACAACAAAGATCTACATGGTCTTGGGTTATGCACTATTTTAGATATGACACAAAAACATACACAATCAAAAAACAAATTGTTCCTCTACAACGTTAAAAACTTTTGTGGCAAAGGACAATATTAAGAAAGTGAAAAGATAATCCATGATAAGACAAAGTATCTGTAAGTTAAAACTATAAGGTGCTTGTTTCCAGAACATATTGAAAAATGCTTACAGTTCAAAAAATAAATAAATTAAATTTGCAAAGCTGAAAGGATATAAATAGACATGCCCTCAAAGAACATATTTAAGCCCACAACCACGTGAAAACAGCATCATCACCCATTAAGAAAATGTAAATAAACTAAATCATATCACTTTATACCCATTAGCATGCCTGTAATTTAAAAAAATGGAAAAATATCAAGTGTTGGGAAGGATGTGAAGAAATTACAATATTCGGAGCTGTGGCATAGCAGCGAAAGCTGCAGCCTACAGTGCCAGCATCCCATACAAGTGCCAGTTCAAGTCCCAGCTGCTCCACTTCCAATCCAGCTCCCTGATAATGGCCTGGGAAAACAGGGGAAGATGGCCCAAGTGCTTGGGCCCCACACACGTGGGAGGCCTAGAAGAAGCACCTGGCTCCTGGCTTCATCCTGGCCTAACCCCAGCCATGTGGCCACGTTGGGAGTGAACCAGCAGATAGAGGATCTCTCTGTCTCTCCCTCTCTCTGTATCTCTGACTTTCAAACAAATGAATAAATAAAAAAAGAAAAAGAAAAAAGTTACAACATTCATGTACTGTTGATGGGAATGAACAGTTTATCCACTACAGGAAACCGTTTGGCAGTTCCTCAAAAACTTGAATATGGGATTATGATATGACCCAGCAATTCCACTGTTGGTTATATACCAAGAGAAAGAAAAACGGGTGTTTATGTAAACACTTCTATATTAACGGTCATAGTAACTTTATTCATAATGGGCAAAAAGCGGAAGCAATCCAAATGCCCATCAGCTGATAAGTAGATAAGCATTACATAGTAAATTCATACAGTGGAATATTATTCAGTTATACAAAGGAATAAAGTACTGTCACATGGTACAACATGGACGAAGGACGAACCTTGAAAAAAATTTTAAGTCAAAGAAACTACATACAAAAGGCATCCTGTTGTATGATTCTATTTATATGAAATGCCCAGAAAAGGCAAATCCATAGGAACCAAAATGAAGATTAGTGATTGTCAGGAAATGAAGCAAACAGGCAGGAACTGAGATTAGCTACTAATGGGTATAAAGTAACTTTCCAGAGGGGACTGAGTGTTCTGGAACAAGACAGCAGTGATGATTGAGCAGCACAAATATTATTCTACAAATCACTAAGTACACACTTGAAAGTGCTGAATTTTAGGTTATGTGAAATACATCATAATAGAATAATACTAGTCAAGTTATATTTTTATTTTTCTATTTGTAAGTATTAAAGAAGTTCACTATCCCAATTTTGGAAGTTTTTACAAAACATTTTATAAGGAAAAACTCATTTAAGGTAATTAAAATTCTTTCTGTACTATTTTACTTTTACCAAATTAGCACATTCAAATAAAGACTGTATTATATCAGAAGATACTTCACAATTGTGATTAAATAGTCATTTAAATTGTCATGCAATTTAGATTATTATAGTTAGCACATAAATCCTTCACATTCACATTAAGACTCCAGACCTCAGTTACATGGGTATTTGAGGGGGAAATGCTCTTCCCCAAATAAACAGGATGCCCAAGCCCTTAAAGGAAGAGCTCTATGCATTTGTTTCGCTCATATCCCACTTGTCAAAGCTGCTGTTATTATGGATCATTAATATTCTTGGTACCACTGTGATATGCCAAATTTTTCACCTATTCAAAAGACTTCAATTCTCTAATCAAAATGTTTTTAAAATATGAACATGTATAGAAACTGATACTTTCTAAAATATATACATATATTTTCCATTATAGAAATACTATATTTCACTTGAAATTTGCTTATATTATTCTTCTAAGGCCCCAAAGTACATAAAATACCTCCTGTAATTATTTGTATGAAATACAGAAAGTCTATAAACAGTAGGCCTCCCTCATTCAGTTTTTCCCCATGGTTTCCATTTCTGCAGTCAGCTGTGGCACTGTCATCCCACAACATCGTGGTAAGGAGCTTTGAAAGAGAAATAATATTCACATAACTTTCATAACATATTGTTATAATTATCTTATTTTATTGTAAGTTACTGTTTTTAATATCTTACTATGCCTAATTCATAATGTAAACTTTACCATGGTAGATACATAGAAGGAAAGCCATAGTATATATAGAGTTGGGTACTACCAACAGTTTCAGGCATCCACTGAGGTATGAAACATACCCCTGACAGATGGAGGACTGGAATAAAAATTTTTTTCTGTCCTCTCTTATTATCAACATCATAGATAGACAGATAGATAAATAGACATATGAACAGATTTATATGCATAAAAATAGTTGTACTCTTCTGCTTTTATGAATATACATGTATATACATTGCACAAAAAAGCTAGACAAGACCCATTTTCAGTAGCACATGGAGTTAATCCTACTTACTGTTGAAGAGCCCAGTGCGGATTTTGGAGACCTAATTATTCCAGCAATTGAATGACGAATAGACTCAAATTTGGATAGCCTCTCCTTTCTTTCCTGGAGGAATTAAGAAACAAGCCTTCAGCAAAAGTCAGTTATCCACTATATTCACAGTAGTATTTAATTATTTACCACAGCTTATCTATCACATCTTCCCAACAAAATGAGATGGAAACTTCCTGACATTAAGGAAGACAAATAACCAAATGTATATGAGCTCCATAGCATTTTACTTTCTTGACCCTTCTGTATGCCTAGATTCAGGGTAAACAAGAAAAACAGAAATTCACATATGTGAAAACAAGATATTTGAAATGCACAAAAAAACATGGAGTATTTCAGATTTCAAATAACAAAAAAATAAGAGGGGAAAAAGAGGAGAATTATATGGAACACACTTTTAAAAAGTGAGTTACACTTAATCACCTAGGAAGTTGTCCAGTCACATAATAGTGTGGATGAGATGGTGCTGAATGAGAAGAGGAGGAGTGGGCGAGAAGGAAGTAAAACAAGGAGTAGGTAGCAGCGGAATTATCACCCAAGAAAGTCAATGCAGATTGCTACCTGCTTTGTGATGTGTATTTCTGAATACCACATACCTCAACTGAACAAAATTGTTCCTTAAATTTCACATCTTTAGATACATCTTACAAAGATAAGTGAATCAGATAGGTGTAAGAGAGCAGAAAAGAAGACAAAAAAGAGAACTAGGAAGAAAGAAGAACAACAGCAAAGCATGTATAAGTGGAGCATCAGCCAATTTTCCGACAAAGACTATATTTCAATAATCAACAGTAGATGAAACAAGAGGTCCTGTTATCATGTGCAATATTTTCAAATGTCTTTCATCAATAATAATGCTGAATTTTTCTTGTGAAAAACAACTAAAAGCAGGCCCAAACATCTTTTCTTTCCTATGTCTCCTGTACCTAACTGTGTGTCTCTGCCACAGTAAACAGAGACATCCTTGGCCACATTCTACCTTATAAACACAGCAGTTCTGAAATTCAGTTTTTACATTTCTACTTGCCTCTCCTACTTTATTTTCATTCTAATTGCTGTAGTCCAATAGTTTTGGTTATTCTACAAACACACAAATTAATCATTTAAAAATAATCTCAGTGTAACCTAACTTGATCCAGCTGCCTGTTAATGGCCTGGGAAAGCAGCGGAGAATGGCCCAAGTTTCTGGGCACCTGCACTCACATGGGAGACCTGTAAGAAGCTCCTGGATCCTGGCTTCAGTCTGGCCCAGCAATGGCCATTGTGGCCATCTGGGGATTAAATCAGCAAATGAAGATCTTGCTCTTTGTCTCTGTCTGTCTCTTTCTGTCTCTCTCTCTCTCTCTCTCTTTGTAACTCCAACTTTTAAAATAAATAAATCTTTAATTAAAAAAATGAACAGGTCCTGCACTGCAGCATAGTGGGTTAAGCCTCTGCCTGTCTCTCTGTAACTCTACCTCTCAAATAAAATCTTTAAACAAACATTTCCACCTTCATCTTGGGTGTTTTTGTAAGCCTAGTCCTAGTGCTTGAGAAGTTTATGAAATAAAAACTGACTAAAGGGCTGGTGTTGTGGCATAGAAGGTTAAGCCTCCACCTGCAATGCCAGCATCAATAGTAATTCCTTAAGTATTACACAGGAATAACCAAAATGCAGATAGGGTTTATAAAACATTTTAACAGCTTCAACTCACATGGTGCCTAGATTTGTGCAAATAAAATGTGAAAACATTTGCCAAAGTGCCTGCCTGTGTTACACTAAATACCAGCTTCAGATTTCAGTCTACCTAATAACACACCAGACTGTGCAGAACTCATTGATAGGTTGATTTTTATATCAAAGAATTAAGTGGCTACTTTATTTTTTATAAAATAAAATATTATTTTATTCAATGTTCTGTAACTTTCTCAAGTTAACAGTAGATTAATGGCATGTTTCTGGTCCAAAACTCATCTGATCTTACTAAGTTTGAAGTGGCTACTTTAAAAATAAAAGTTAACAAGTATATCTTCAATTACCATGGACAATTACCATGAACACACCTACATTTGTCTATAGGTCAGCCAAGATGGGTGATGACTCTCATTTTATCTACCTCAAGTAATGACAAGAGACAGAGTTTTCTCTGGCCTGCCAAAGCTACTGCAGGTGGGACTGAAAATTAAATAAATCGATAGCAGGCCAATTTATAAGGTGATAATTTTGTATGGCCCTCTAATGATGTTGTAAATATGCAAATGGTCCTTGGCATAAAAAAGATGTCCCACCTCTGCTAGATAAAGGAGATAAAAGACCAAAGGAATGGCAGAAGGATGGCTCCTTACAGTGGAGGTAGGAAGGGCAAGAGCGGGGTAGGAAGGGGAGAGTGTAGAGGCAATATTATGAAATAACACCCAATGCTATGAAATGACATCCTTAAAGATGCTGAGGGAAAAACATTCCACGATCAGCTCCTAACCTACTTGAAAGCAAAGTTTCTGCAATACAGTTTCATGTCTCCTTTGAAAGGAGTTTTTCTGAAATGAAGTCAGCATAAGAAAGACTTATCTGTACCCCCAAGTTTATTGAAGCTCAATTCACAATAGCTAAGATATGAAATCAATCCAGATGTCCATCAACTGATGACTGGATAAAGAAAAAGTGGTATACAACCAGACAAGAAAAAAAAAAAAAAGAATGAAATCCTTCCTGTCTTTTGTAACAAAATGAATGCAACTGCAAACCATTATGCTCAGTGAAGTAAGTCAGTCCCAAAAAAGACAAATATCATATGTTTGCCCTGATTTGTGGTAACTAATATACAGGGTACAAAAAATATAATTTATATAAGCAAGCTGACATTTTGAGATTTGATTATTGTTTACAGCCCTTGTCTATACACTTGAGAAATGGTGATTTTACTACTTACTACTTGTTGAATTCTTTATTTAGTGGAGGGTTAAGCTTGTGATTATTAAATAAACTGAAAGTATGTCATTGTAAAAATTAAAAAAAATAAGGAAGGAGGAGGGAGGGTAGGAGCGTGGGCAGGTGGGAAGGAATGTAGGGCGGGAAGTATCACTAGACTCTTAAATCTGTATATATGAAATACATGAAATCTGCTCACCTTATATAAATAATATATATTTATATATATATATATATTAAATGAGATACGCTCACATCTCTTCTCTCTCTCATCCCCACCTCAAGGGTATGTATGTGTGTGTATGTGTGTGTACACACATACTTGCAAACTGCAGTGAAACAAGTCCTTCAGTTACCTTCAGGAAAACAAAGGGCATGAAGTAAATGGAGTTGCTCTGACAAAAAACGAAAGTCTAACAACGCCTGCCTCTCCAGCTGCTGGTAGCTAAGTGACAGACAACTTTAACTAAAAAGCATAGAGCAGTTCTCAGAGCAGAGGTCTAAGAGGACCTGAAGAGAGAAAGAATGAGGCTCTTGATGGCACAAAGGGTAAAGAATATGAACCCGGGCAAGTCAATTAACTGCCCTGCTCTGTTTCCGCACGGGTAAACAAAAGGCACTGCAGCAGACATACTCTTCATGGCAAACGTTCTGTAACTATCATCCAACTGCCCCACCAGTTGCTGGCAACCGGAATGACCTCCCTCAGAGGCCTTGGTCACAACCCCCTCAGGTGCCCTCAGAACCGGAAACAATGGGAAGGGTAGACTACTGGAAAGTGCCACTGGAACACCTTTTGTTAATAACGAGCCATTAAAATGATAACCAAATATTATTTCCAACAGACTTCTGTAAATGAACCCAACTAATAACATTCTTGGAAGAACCAAAGTAATTATTTGGCCCTGTAGGAATAGTCAGCATATTTATTCAAATCTGCAGACAATAAGAATTAAGAAAAAGATAATATTCATGTTAAACTGTAGGCTGAGTGCCAGGTATCTCGGGGACTTCTTATGCAGAGCAGCCATGAAAATCGGAGCGATTCTGTGAGAAATAACAGCAGGGAAATTATAAGCCAAAGAAGACTGTCTCCTGAAAAAATTCTGCACTGCTGATGACTCCATAATGTAAAGGAAACACTGTAAATATCTGTATGTCTTTCATAAAAGGAATGCACTCATAAATAAACAAGTAACTTAATCTCTTGCAGATGATGATTTGCTGGGGAGAATGAGAGATAACGCAGTTCCTATCATCAGGATATAGACTTCAAGTATTAAAACAGTTTTTAAATGATTTATTTTAGCAATTGGCTTCTGAATGAAGGCAAATCACTTTAGAATCGTTCACAAGCTAGTAACCTAATTTGTTATGCTGTCTTTTTTTCTTTGATGCTTGCTTATTAAGAATATTTATTAAAGGCAAGGACAGTCTCTTGCTAAGTCAAGCATTTTCTTCTCCTGAAATAATGAAATCAGAAACCAAATGTACAAAAGGAACATTGGAATGATTATTAAGATCTTGTCTTGAAAGAATAATGCCAAGGAAATCTACAGTGTAACAGAACAGAGTGTGGTGAGAGCCAGGTTGTCAAATGGCATCTTGACTCTGTCTCTTAAATGAGACAATGTCTCTAGGGAGGAGCCAAGCAGGAGGCTATAACCAGCTTCCTTCCTAGTGCACCTCTAAATACAACTCATGGCCCATGGCTCTCTTCCCAAATATGTGCTCAAAATGGCTAACGACTGTCTTTTTTTAAAGAGTGTATTTATAGAGCAGTTTTAGATTCACAGCAAAACTGTGAGAAACAAAGATATTCTGTTTGTCGGCTTCCCCTACACACGCACAATGGCCTCCATCATCAACATCCCCCGCCACAGTGGTGCACTGAGGCAGGGACGTGGACACAGCATGACCACCAGACTCCACAGTTGCTATCACGGCTCACCCTTGCCTATTGTACCTTCTGAGGGTTTCAATAAACACAGGACGGCAATAGCCACCATTTCAGTATCACACAGAGCAGCTTCACTGCCCCGAAAATCCTCTTTGCTCTGCCTATTAATGTCTCCTCCCCCCAAGATAATCTTTCTGAAAATAGTCCAGGTGCACAGAGAAACCAACTGGTTTCAGCACCTCACTA